TTTATTTTTTGACTGAAATATTTACCTAATTGATTTGTAAAGAAGTAGTTTTGCATTATTCTTTTTTTAAATATAATTAGACCAGATTATTTATTAAATGGTTTTACACCAACGTCGTGCTGAAAAAATGCAACTCTGTTTCGTTTCTTCGCTTGGTTCGCTTTTCTAAAATAAATTCCTTTCAGTCGTCAAATGACAGACGTGTATCAAAGTAGTTATGAATTCGGAAAAAGCTATGTCTATGTTTAATAAAAAACAACGAAAGTGGATTATAATTGAGAAATAATGCAAATAAAATGCAAAATTTGTTAATGTGATAATAAACAGTATAATGCGTTTATTGAAAGAATTAAAATGTATGGAATTACGATTTTTTTTTGAAGAATAAAACGTAGTTACGCTAATACAGTGTGAAGTAAAGAAAATTGAAATTAAACAAAAGAGAGACGGGAAATTCCATGAAATTCGCGGAAAGTGTAAATCAAAGAAAAAATAAAGGTGTTAAATTACTTTGAACACTAATAAACTATTATATAATAAAAATTTAGACCAATTATTATAAGAAAGTGAATTCATTAAAATGCATCGCAAAAATGATGCGCAGAAAAGACTTAGAAAAGTTTATAAAGTTTTTAGTGTTAAAATCGACGCAAGTGGTCGTGCAATCACGTCTCGGTGAAAAAATTCAAACGCAATGTAATCCGCTAGCCACTGGTACTGACTGGTTCAATATTGTTATACAAGATCATCCAGATGTTTATGCGGAAGCGAAAAATGCGCTTGGGCTGGGCCCAGGCGAAAGTATTATCAAACGTTTACCATTATGTATAGAAATCTCTTTAAAAACAGTAGAAGGCGATCAAATGGTCTTAGAAGTATGGACAATTGATTTGCAAACAACTGGCCTTAAAGACAGAAATGATACAAAAGGTGGTGCAACAACAAATTCAGAACAACAAACATTGAAAGCAGCACATGCAATTTATAACAAAATGAGCATACTTTTGAAATCTTTAATCTCGTTAACCCGCGCCACGCCTGCCTACAAACTTTCGCGTAGGCAATGCGCAGATTCGTATGGCATTTACTATCGTATTTACGTGGACAAACCAAAGGTACATACACTGGGTGAAGGCTACAAAAGTGTACGTATCGGACAAATGAATACAATTGTGGGCGCACTAACGATGTCAGTGGCGTATCGCGTAAAAATGACAATTACTCCAACAGCGGCACAAACTCGTAATGGTGATGGGAATACAATTATGGTAAAATCAGATCATTTTCGACCAGCAGACGCTTCACCTACGCCTCCAATGTTGGCAGGCAAAAAAGGCAGCGGTGGTGGTGCAGCAGACCGAAAAGTAATTGATATTGAGAAACCGCTACGACCTGGTGCCTTTACTGACCTTGGCAAGTTGCGCCAGTACACAGAAGATGATTATGTGTTGCCTGAAACACCACCCTTCGAATGGCTGCTGCGGCGCACACGTTGTGAAAGTGGTGGAAGCAATGGTGAATATGGTTCAATAGAGTCGCTTAATCGTAAAAGCGATCCAATTGCTACCTCGCCGACAACAAATGGACACCAAAATCTCATTTCCAATAATAATAACAACAACAGCGGCGAAAAAGTCAATAGTAAAAATGTAAACATAAATAATAATAATAATAATGTGGCTACGTTTAAAAGTTTCGAAAAAGATGAAAATACTCAAAAGACAACAGCAGAGTGTAAAAATTTATCACAGTCACCCGTTAAAAGTTTACTTATACCCGCACCACCAGCTACGAGACATCAATCAGCGCCAATTTTATCAAACACGCATGCCATGGACGATGACAGTTTGCTAAAGGAACTTAACTTTCCATTCGCATCACCAAACTCTCATGTAAATGATTTGGCGAAGTTCTATCGTGACTGTTATCATGCGCCACCACTACGCGGACTGAATGAAATACAGCCAGACATGGGTGGTTGTGCTGCCGCTGCGGCTGTAGCAACGACTACTAGCGCCGAGGCAGCAGCTGTGGATGATTTATCGCGACAACTGGAACAATTCGAAACATCATTAGAGGATTACGACAAACTAGTCTCGCAATTAGGTTTGAGCACATCTTCATCAACGGGCAGCCGCAGCAGTGGTGGCCTGCAAATGAGCAACTAAGGCTGAGTGCATGCGCTGTGTAAATACACTTATATACAATTGTATATTATACGATATTGGTTACATATATTTTTAAAGGATATTATTATATATTTATTAATTATTTAAATTTAGACTTTAACGTTTATTAATATACAATTTAGCTTAGCGAATGTACGTAAATTATTCTTAAAACCAAATATTTGTTTATGGAAATTGTTGTATTGCGTTTAAAAGTAATTAATTGTTTTGCATAAAACGACTTAAAATTTAAATTTAAATAATTCGCTTTTGACATGATCGATATATAGACTTAAGATAATCTATCCTATAAAGTCATTAAATACTAATAATAAATATGTAATTATTTAAGTGCCTTTAACGAAAGAGAAACAATTATTATAAAATTTTTTTATTATTTTAAGTGATTTTATGAGTTGAATAACGCAAAGAAAAACAAAAAATCGTAAATAATTTAATGCCATATCAGTTGCAGAATTTCCATTACTTCGCTTATCGAAACGAAAAAAAAAAGAAATTAAAAATAAATTTGATAAAAACGCCAAAAATTTCATGAAACAAAACTCAAAACATTAAATAAATATAATAATAAAAAATAAAAGGCAGGCGATATAATGTAACTAACAAGATATTCCAAATATTTTTATGCTTGTAATATTTTTGTACTTTTATTCGTTTTCTGTATTTTGCTAAGTGCATTAAATGTTTTGTAAAAAGGTCACTGAATTGTAAAATTAAGGTAAGCGTACGAACATTGATTATTTATAAGTAACATTTTAATTTAATTAAGTTGTGCGAAAGTCTGTCTATGTTTGTAAATATTCATTTTGTAATAAGTAACAAATAAGACTAAAATTAAAATATTACACGACAAAGAAACTTGTTATTTTTTTATGGCACTTTATTGTGTTTGTAATGCGTAGCAACAATTTAAATAGGCAGTTAACTTAACTATTCTGTAATAGTTAAGTGTACATACCATACATATACATATACGATATATATACTTATAGATACATGTAAATATTGGAGAGTAGCAACGGTAAAGAGGTTTAGAGGTTTCTGGAATATTTAAAGTATTTTGTTTAAGTGTATTAGATGGAAAATTTATGGATTTTAGAAAACTCTATACATTCTAATTTCACTTTTATAGGCCAAATACTCTATCTCATTAAAATAATTCAATTTTATTTATAAAGTGTAGAAGTATCAAAATTCTATAGAACGCGAAAGTGGCTTTAAATTTCAAATAATTTCTCTAGTCATTTGGATTGATCTACCTATATCTTCCTATAAGTCAGCAGCTCAATTATATTGTCAATGAAATTGTCTAAAGCAATGGTTGCAAGACCACCTCGATCTACGTCCCTGAGCCATTTGTTAACAATCAAGTACCTTTCGCTATACTCAAAAGGAAGTACTTAAGCAGTTCCTTACGTTTTATAACAACAACATAGCAATAATTCTCAAACCAAAATTTAGTGCGAGTTGTATGTGCTTTACAAGTAGCGGTACTAATATTTTGCCTAAAAATATATCAATATTATTAATAAATAATAGGCTATGAATGCATCCCGATCTAAAAGATCTATTGTGCACCTAAAAGCCCAATTAAAATAATTCTAAACTATTTATAAATCTAGTCATTGCTGAGGGCTTAATTTTACCTAATTGATTTGGGACTAAGATCCCACTTCAAATATAGTTTATTTACTTTTTTTCCTTTAAATACTATCAATGTCAAGTTTTTGTATTAATGTTAAAAAAATATCAATTAGTTTTTTTATACTTCTCAAATACTGCTATAAAGCAATTACAGATAGCACAAAATCTGGCTTTAAGAAGACTAATTAAGATACCTTGGTATATTAGAACAACAGACATGCATAGAGATCTAAGAATCGACTCAGTGAAAAAGTATATCAAGGACAGAGCCCCAAAATTATTCACAAAAGTTGATACGTTGCCCAACCCCGCACTAACAAACCTTAAGTTCACCTCATGACGCTCAGGAAGATATGTTGATCTACGGTCCGTCATCAGTTAGAAAATAAATAAATGATAATGATTCTAGTATAGTTAAAGTTTAGTGTGGGGCAGAGATAAGCCCCCCAGGCACAATAGAGTAAAAGTGAGCAATAGCACGAACTGAATTCACAACGGCAACAATCTTATAAATAAACGGTATATTATATAGAATTAGGTTGTTACGGACATCGTAGTGTTTACCTTAGACCTTATGGGCTATTATTTCATATAAAACTTAAAAAAATAGTTTAAAACCATTTGTTGAATTATTTGTTATGAATTCAAGGAGACGTTGGAAATCGTATGTATTTCTGATCACAGATCAGCATGTCAACACAAGTCTATTTAGTCATTTTTGTTTGTTTAAATAAATCTGTTATATGTCTTTCTGTTATGATTAGGATAAGGAGACTAAATGGTTTGAAATAAAACTAAAATCCGGAAACAGCTGCATAAACAAAATATCAGAAAGTGTGGTCATTTGTCAGCATATGAATAATTAGTAAAATCTTATGAAGCGATTGATGATTAAACTTGCAATATATTATATACCATCATTATGTAGTAAACATTAAAAAACTGCTTATAAATATTTATATTTTTTTTGCATTATATGGATCTTATATTCGTATAAAATATTGCAAAAATGCAGTGCAATTATATATTATCGTTATATGGAAAAGTAACTCAATATTTTGCTTATCAACTAAAACCAATTGTGGAACTATTTAATAACCATAAAAACAGATTAGAAGTTATTATATATAGTAATAAAAAATTTTGGTACGTAATAGTGAGTTTAGATTTCATAAAGCTATTTATTTATATAAGATCGAGATAAATATTTTAGAAATTAAACATAATTTAAGAATATTTTAAATGATTGCAGTTAAGAATAGGTCAATGGACCCATAATAGTGCTGAGCAGACTTTATATGCTTTGCTAATCATTACTCACAAATCATATTTCCAATCTCATAAAACCGTTCGGAGACAATATCTAGAGAGGTATTTTGTTTTCTTTTCAATTTATTGATCATTTAACTAACAAAAGTTGGAATACACATAAATTATCTAAAAAACCGATTATATATTTTAAGTTATTTAGGAAAAGGATTTGGTATTACGTAGTGAGCTGGTCACATTGATGAACGCAAGTATTTCATGTTGTAAATGTTGTCAAGTAACTTAAAGAATCGTCGATATAGTTAAGCTTGAAGTTGTATAAGCCTAGTTAATGGCACAATAGTTCCTTGGATGTCTCTTAGCGATGACGAGTACTATATAGTTTTGTTACTAGCTCTATGTCATCCCTCAGTTCAATATACTGTGGTAGCCAAAAGCTTAAGATTTGGAGTACAATATCACCCTATATTTGGCTGGTGAAATTAGACAAGCTTAATTCCTATTTAACTGTTTCAAAAAGTGATCAGTAGTATATAGTTGTGTACTATTTATATAATGTATGTATAATATGTATACTATCTATAATATGTATAAGACGTATAAGATAATATAATATACATTAGCATATATGTATGTATAATATCTGCGAAACATTTTCCAAATATGATGGCGTAAAGTAATTTCGAATAAAGAACTATTCGAAAGTGCATTACTGAAGTAAAAACAGAAGTATTGTTCGATTAGTCATATTTCATGTCAGAACAATGATGATCTCTCTTATCCAGTGACTTGAAACCCAGAAGATGTTAAGTTAGGTTAAATTAGGTATAGTGTGGTAGCACTATAGCCCTTTTGAGCACAACTAAAACCCCATTGTGATAGTACAAATAAAGACGTCGCTTTTGCTCTAAACAAAGAAAACTATCAATACAACTATAGAGATCAAACCAGTCTGCACATAAACCGCTTTCTGATACCAAGCTTTAACGTTGCTTATGCACCAGATTAAGAAGACCACCAAAACAGATCTACACACAGACAGATTTGAAACGAATAAACTTGTAGCTTGTTATGTTTATTTACGAAGCATTAATAGTGGTTAACGGGCCCATGGTACCGTTCAAGGAAGATGCATGAAAAACCTCTGCTTAGTCTTCTCCATATGGTCATTTGTGCTGGAGTGGTGTTGTTAAGAATTATCATGGTAAAGTAAAAAATATAGGTGGAGAAGTGCAGTTCCAACTAAAATTGTGAAGTCGTTTGACGAGGTGGGACTTATCACATTGGAAATGTTTGTAGAATATATAAGTTCCTAAAAAGGAGTATAGAAATAATAATAATATACTCATATATAGTAAATATTTTGTTAAATAAATTGACTCATTGCTTATTGGTAGTCATTAATTTTTTGATCATAAGTTTTAATAACACAGCAACTGCTGGACATTTGACATATTAAAATATTCAATAATTAATGAACAAATAATCTAATAAACAAATATAAATAATACGTCAATATTTTTTATTGGCAAAATAAAAACAAAAATAAATATAAATAAAATTGTTTATTTAATTTTTTTATTACTATTAGAAAATAAAATGAAGTAAATGTGATGATTGAAAAGATTGAGATGAAACTTTATTCTGTCATATTGTGCACAATTTGCAAAAACACGTTTGTTTATTTTATTATTCTATTGATATTAAAACTAATACATTCCAACTCAAATATAATATATACAAGTTTATATATTAACATTCGATTATTTCAGTATATGGATTATCTGAACTCTGCGCTTCTGTTTAGCAAGCAAATTACAGATTCCAGATTTCAGATTCGGAAACATAGTTCAAGTCACTTATTGTATAATTATAAACAAATTGTTTATTTTTATATGAGTAGAACTATATATGAGTAGATCTATATATGAGTAGAACTATATATGAGCAGATCTATATGTGAGTAGATGTCAAACGATTAAATAAACAAAAAATTGTATATTAAAAACATAACGAAATTCCATTTAATGGGAGTACAGTAGAACTTGTGAGCGACCGATTGACCAACCGGTGTACACGAGCAAGTTGCTAAAATAAAAATGAATGAAAAAAAAAGTTAATGAGTTATAAACAAAATAATTAAACCTCACTTGGTAATAAGCGTGCGACAGGCCGCAAAAATAACAATAAAAAAAACAACAAACAATGAACAAATTGTTGATTATATAAAGAAAAAATTTCTTCGAAAATTTAAAATTGTATAATAGCCAAGTACAATGTGCAATTCGAAAAGCACAAAAGAATTACAATCCAGAATATCCACATAAACGACATAAGCAACTTGACTCTGACGTAGCAGAAAATAATTGTTTACCCTCCTCCTCCGGTCGGTCATTGTCGATTGTTTGCTAACGAGAGACCTGTAAACATTTGCATTGCGGTGTCAAATGGTATAATAATAAAAAATGGAACTAAATTTGCTTAACAAATTGTTCATCATAATAATTTTAGCAGTGAGGTAGGGAATTCTAGCACAGAATTTGCCGGTAATGAAATATTTTCTTAAAAGTATTTACTCATTACTTTTTTTAATTGTTTAAAAACGTAAACAATTAGATCATATACCTTACAAATTATTTTATGATTTATTTAAACAATATATAAATTTATATATAATAAATTTTTTAAAGAGGTTTTTCGAACAGTAGTGAACTACAACAACAAAAATTAATTTTTTATTATTTTAATTAATTGAATTTTTTACTGACCAAATTCCCATCATCAGTGGTATTGGAAGTAATTCTTGTATTTAATTATTCGTAAATAAGTTTTTGAGACTGTAAATAATTTTATGCAATTTTTTCGAATTCGTGCCCTGCCAAATTTACGGCTCAGAGTCAGCACTCCTTAAACGACTGACTCAAAGTCGTACTTGACTTTTATGTACGCACATTTTTCTGGAGTTTTGTTAATTTACTGCGAAAATTTTATTAACAAATTCACTTTTCATAAACCAGGTGTAGAATAATGGAATTAATTAATTATATTTTTATTTTTTTAATTGTTAAATTTCAATACTAATCTGCTTGTAGACGCATTATTTGTTGGATGATTTATGTATTCTTTCTTATGTATGGAACCTAATCTAGGAACTTAATACTGACAATATCATGCTTATATTACTCCACGAATATATATAATATATATATATTATTATTAATATAATATATTTTATATATGTATGTATTTACACAATTTAAAAAATAAATTTACATATCGTAATATATAGTTATACTAGCTGACCCAGCGAACGTTGTTTCCCCTTGCAATTAATTTTCTTGGCGTTCCTTGCGTTGCTCTTGACTTTCATTAGTACGTGTGATTGTATCCTGGTTTCTTACATTTTCATTGTTTTCTGCCGATCTATTTAACTCCGTCGACCAATATTTCCTCCTCGTCCACGAAGACGTGGCATTATTTTTTGTACGTAATTTATATCTTTATATATATAATTCTTTTTTTTTTGTGTGTATTCAAGTGAATTCAACGATAATTTAGATTCACAATTTGGTCCACTGGATAACGGTTTTTTAATTATTATACAGTTTTTTGTGTATCCATATACATTTATATTAGACATTTAATGCAACGGCAGTTTTACGATTCATTTTAAAGATTTTAAACTTTTTAAACAAATCAAAGTAAGCATGAATAAATTTTAAATTTCTAATATAAATGTGTATGGATACCAAAAAATAAAAAATTAATTAAAAAGACATTATCCAGTGGGCCAAATTGTGAATCTAAACCTTCCTTGAATCCACTTGAACACCCATAAAAAATTTAATCAAAATCGGTTCAGCCGTTTAGGAGGAGTTCACTGTCAACACACGTACAGAAGAATTATATATATAAGATATTGTTAAATACTCATATTATGGTATTCACTTATATACATTACATAGATTTTTACGAAGTGAGATTTTCACATGTATCAAGATAACGTGCCGTAAACGCCTTATTGGAATGAATTTCCGCCGATTTCAAATGAAGTTGTGTTTTGGACATAACTTTCTCTACTTGGTAAGGAGCGAGACCTATCAATACCTCTGCTGATCTTTGTGTCTCAGTACCCGGTGGTGAATACCCAACTCCACTCCGAATGAATGATAAACAAATACCGATCATTCTTACCGCATAAGTGTGGATATTAACTACAGCCACTACAACTCTGTCAAGCACCACTTGGCCAGTATAGCCGAAGCTGCAGGGACCTGACTCCCGTAGTACCAGATTTACACATCCACTCAGGTGTGACAAGTGTTGTGTCACTTACTACCAAGCACACTCCAAAACAGTGTCAGCATTGAGTTAAAGTTGAAAGATTTGGCGTTGTGACGAGAAATTTGCAGATTTATGGATAACCTATGCTCAGTAATAGAGGCGGGTCAAAATCAATTACGTCGAGCAAGGCTTGTTATTTATTTTATCAGTAAGTGAATCTGAACTAATTGATGTATTAAATGGGTTAAATAATGTGGATTGTGAAAAAGGCAATTGCATGTTGTAGATCTAGATATAATTGTAAAGCAATTATTAACAGAAACTTTAAGATTTTTTAATTATACTTATAAAAAAGTAATTATGAACAGAAGCCCTCTTATTAAGGGCGTTAATTATACTTAACATCCTACAGACGATTCTCGAAATCATGCGTATACATTCTTAATTATTGAAATGTAATTATTGTTAATTTTTTTATTATTCATAACTTTGAACTACAAATATCTGTTAATATTGTGAGGTAATTGTATAAAAACATAAAGATCATCATAATCTGTCTCATGGGGGTATAATACGAGGAGCTATTACACTACACTATTACGTTACACTATTACGAGTAACAAGGGTAGTAACAAAACCATGTTAATAGGTTAATTAGCTCGTGAATAACCTCTTATATACCAGAGATATTAACATGGAAGAAAAGCTTTAGGAAGTCTTCGAAAGCTGAACATGCGTAGCATTGCTTACGATGCTGTACTTACATACGTACAGGGTAATCGAGTAAAGGGTGTCTAAATCTTAAATCTGTCACTTGTTTTTGACACTAACTCTAATACATAAAATAAGTACCGACATTCTCAAAAGCTTAGCATTTGTTGTATTGTTCAACATACTGTACTTTCCGTTGATTACTTTCCAGTGAGTAAAGACCGAGTTTAGGGTGATTTAATCTCAAAAAAATCACTTGAAATATACCCAGATGACTGAGACATAGTACTGAGAAATCATCAGTACTAGATTAATTTATCATTTTGTAGATAGAAATTTCTGCTATCCATGAACTTCTGTATTTTTGCGACACGTTTCGGAAGACGGTACATCTTTCGCCTATAAATTATTACAAACATTGATAAATCTAAAATGTCTAAAATGTCGGATCATGGGATATTTCTAAAAATGATTTTGTTTTTATACGTTATATAAGGTCTGTCAAGTGTACAGCTGATATATAGGCCTGCTTTAATGTAAGGCTTTTTTAATAACAATTCTTTAGATGTATTATAGAATCTTCAAAATCTGATACAATTGTGTGAAATTGGAATGGAAATAAAAGAATGGAGTTGGGCATTTACTCGTAGTTGAAACATTTTTATTTAATGTAAACTTTATTAAATTTTAATAACAAAATTAAAATAAATAACTAGTTATATACATTAGTATAATATATATAAATGAAATGCATACTATATTATCAGAATATAATATTCTAGACATAATAGTCATCAATGCAGCGATATGGATATGGATATGGAGTAAAGCGTCTTTTTCCAAACCTATTAGCAGCGCGTTTTCTAATAGGACCACGAATACCTTCTCAAAAAATCAATTTATTATTATTACAAATATATAGGTATAAAGCAGGTATCACAGACAATTATATCAAAAAGAGCTAATTTGTCTATAATAGTGCTTAGTTCCTAGACACAAATACTTATATGTACGTTTAATTCTGTAGTTAAAAACTGTATTCACATTAATACCTTTCAACATCTTGATACCTTGCAGAGCATCCAGTTTGTTCCTAAACATGACGTGCGCCATACCTTTAATAAGACATTGTTCATGTTTACAAATTATTTAATTTTTTATTTTATATACAAATTTTAAATATATACATCTATATAAATATTATATAATGTATGAAGTATATATTAAGTATATAAATTATTACCTAAGGAGTCTCCATTGCAGTCATAATGAATGTTGATACTAATAATGTTAAAAGAGTTTACGAAAACTGCTTCCAGATCAACGTCTCCTACTGATCTGTCAAGATTATAAACCAGAACCAGTGGATATTCGGTAACCTAGAAACATATATTTAAAAGTATAAAAAATATGAAATATTTTTATATTATTCATATTTTGTATATTATATTATACATTTTATATTTTTATTCAATATATCTTGAATTAAACAGAAGAATATCAAAGCAAGTGATAATAGCTCGTAAAACTTCATAAAAGACTGCAAAGCTTAGATTTACAGTAAAAAGTAATATATTGAGTGATTTTTGAGATTGGATGGGAATTGTCTATAGGGAGCTGCTCCAGCCTGATGCAACGGTTAATTCGGTTCTCTACTGCTCACAGCTTGACCGCTATAATAAAATAATGAAAAAAGAGAATTAAATTAGGCAACAGAAAAGAAGTCGTCTTCCATCATGATAATGCCAAGCCACAACCATTTTTGATGACTCGGAACAAAATGACGAAATCTGCTTGTGAAGTTTTACTGCATTCACCGTATAGTAAAATCCGTAACTTGTACCTCTGACTACCATTTGTTTTGGTATCTGCAAAACTCTTTTAATGGTAAGAAATTGACTGACCCAAGAGCCGCTAAAAATCACTTATCCAAGTTTTCACCGATAATCCATAAAAGTTCTACACCGATAGAATAATGAAGCTATCCGAAAAATGGCAACAGGCCATAAATAATAATGAGCAATATATACTTATAAGTATATACCATATATATACCATATATATACCATATAAATACATAAGCATATACTTATATATACAATATTTATATATAAGTATATATATAAGTATATATAAGTATATACTTATTTATACCATATATACAATATATACTTGATACTTAAAAGTTTTATTCAAAAACGTTCTAAGAAATTGTTGATACGCTTTATATCACTCATCATATGAAAATATCACGTTTTTAAGATAAATAAAATTAAATTACCGTCTCTTGAAGAATGCATCTGACGCGATTATTGTTGTTGTTGTTATCCTTCCAATATCTACGTCTATCCAAACGTTGGCGTTTATAGCGTTCCTTTCGTTCACGCTTCCTATTTTCAGCTATTATCTCATCTAGACTCTTATCTACATCCATCATAGCTTTAATATATTTCTAGTAAAATCGGAGCAAAATAGATATCGCTATCAATTTTCAAGAGAATGAAGTTAGTTTTGAATAAAAAATTATTTAAATTCACAAACAAAAATTTTTAAATATACGTAATATATATACATTATGGCCTACTGAAGTAATTAAAAAGAATTTTGCTCAAATTAAAATACTACGTATATACGAATTATAGATTTTTTCCAGAATTTTGAAATAATTCTATAATTTATATAGAATTATATAGCAGCCGTATACTATATATTCCAATTGAAGCGACAATACAAATTGATCTGAGCATGTTTTTTTATCTATCTGTTTTAATACATATGTCATATGTTTTTTTAAATAGTGTAAGACCCGAACCCGAACCTGAAACTCACTATAAATCTATTTAAATGGCACCTTTATTTCCGCAAAGTTTAAAGCAGCCATATTGTTGTCTTTGTATTATAGTATGCATTTTTAAACTTAAATACCACTGAACAAGTTAAAATAAAATCTCAATTTGTTATTAATTAATGCATAGTTTTATATAAAATTTCGATAAAAAAAAATTTTAAAAGCCTTATTAAAAAATACATTGTTTTTTTTTTAAATTATTAATAATTATAATCTTAGTTACGCCGTAACATTATCAGCGTTCACTTATAATTAAAGAAGGTAAAACTAGAAATAAATAATTATATATTTTAGTTTATATTTCTTACATTTTAAAATCGAATATGCACACACAGATATATAGATATACATATATATATATATACATATATTGTATCATTTATCAGCGTTTCTTGCGAGAAATGTGGAATTTAAAACGAATAGTCGCAAATTATCTGAATCGGAAGTATATATGCTGATTAGTATTAAGTTTGTAATATATATTATTATATAAAACAATCAATATCATAAATATTTTTTACAAAACACTTGTTCTTTTAATAATTTGCTTGAGATTAAGCCTAATCATTTACAAATTCTCTTCGCCTTTCAGGTATATATCACTTCTAATAGTTCCACCTATTGACACACTAGCGGAATTTAATACAACCTATCAGGTCACCTGTCAACTATCTCTGTTTTGTTCTGACGAGAAGGGTCTTTAAAGTCATTAGTAAATTTTTATTCTATAAATCAAATATTATTTATTGCTACAATTATATGTATATTACTATATCTTAATTTATAAACAATTGAAGTAAAACGTTTTCTCTTCAGTATTGAGCCTTATGTTTTGTCAAGAATCCTTTGAATACTTAGCGACTTTTTTGCGAATTATTTAATCAGTTGTTTAAGACAAAGAAGCGCATGATATACACTTCGTCTCTGCATAATCTTCTTTCCTTCATCAATTGTAGTTCCTATTTTGCCATTTATTTGTTTGTAGGTATCTATGTAACTATTGATATAATTAATATAAAATTGTTTACATATAGGCGAGCAGACAGTTTTAAATCAATTTTCCAGAGTCTATATTTTGTCTTCCCTACATACGATTTTTTTTTTATTTCCACACTTTTGAAAATCTCCAACTTGTATCGTTAGGAGCAGTGTCTTATCTCCAGATACTACAGTTTTAATGTAAAGCGAATTATTTTATGCGCCCCTTTATAAATAAATTGGCTCTTTCCAGGGTATTTCCCCAACATTTAAGAAACATTATTTTAAAAGAAGAAATCAATATTTAAGAATCTTCTCAGATAGCTAAAACTTAGAAATAGAAACTGAAATTGTAAAATTTCAACTTCTTTTAAGTAGAAGTAGAAGATTAAGTAGAAGATTTTATCCTTTTTATGCAAATATACTAACTATTATATTTTTATACTTCGCAATCGTTAGTTAACTATCAAAACAAATAACAATGTATGACTTGAGCATGACTTAAGTCTGTATTGAAATTTAAGTTATGACTGTGGCTTTGAGTAGTATATTATATCATTCAAGTAGCTAATACGAGGACGGTTTGATAAGTCAGTAACTTTTTCAATTTCCCTCGCATGTTACTCCAAATGCAACAGTGCTGTCGTCAGCTGTAATCTACCAGTTGGCAACTTTCTAGCTACGTCGTTCAGTTGGTGTTTGATAGCCGTTCAAAGCAGACAACCTCGTGAATTTTTACGAAAATGGAAAAAAGTGAATTTCGCCATTTCTTTAGGTTTGGAAACAGATAGTTGCAAAATCTAAAGAATATGCTAAATCTGAAGAATATGCTCGATGGGCTAGCAGTTCGTATCCCAATTCATGGATTTTGGCCACAATGAAAATTCAAGAGGTTGTCTGCTTTGATCGGCTATCAAACACCAACTAAAGGACGTAGTTTGCTCAAAATTAAAAAGTTGCCCACTGGTAGATTACAGCTGACGGTAACACTGTTGCATTAGGAGTAACTGCGCGGGAAATTCAAAAAGTCACTGACTTATCAAACTGCCTTCGTAGTTTCATTTGATTGATGTTTCAGATCTAAGTGTGTACTTCAGTTCTATTCATCTATAAAGATGATAAATAAATATTTTAGTTGATATTAAATAAGGTTTCAAAATCCATTATAAAATTTGAGTTTCACTTATTCATAATTTATTCTCAGCCCCTACTGAATAAATATAATGTATATAACTTATTATTCAATTCGGTTAAATATATATATATTATATCATAAAAGTATATCTTAAAAATAAAGACAAGTTTCATTTTTTAGTTTTTTTTTTCTCATTGGGAATTATATTTATTATTCAATTCAAACGTTTGTGTAAATAAGATTCTAAGTTCTAAGTTCAATTTATTTTTTTTTTAAATTAAATAATGTAATTTTGAGCTGAAGTTGTTTAGTCTGGAGTTCAATTTGTTTCTCTTTTTTATAAAAAATTATAGTTTGCTTTAAAATTCAATATATATATATATGGAAATTAATATTTAGTTAGTAGTAAAAGTACTCTCATACCGGCAAGTTAGGTTGATGATCGGTACACAAACTAGAGAAAGTACGTAGATCATAGTTACTTATCATAGTTACATTAATTTGATACGTTTAGTAAGAAACGGCAACTGAAAGCGGTTAAAACGTAATTTATAGTTAAAGTGGGATGCTGTCACAAACCGACCGACAACCTTTGCACCAGTGCTTTTATGCAATAATTTAACAAATTTAAACAATTTGTATTTTTATAAGTGATTGCATTAAAAGTGTAATCAATATTTTTACTTTCTAATTGGAAAGCAAAAGAAAGGCGCGAAGAAAAATAATTTTAACGCGTTTTTTCTTGGTTTCATCTCCAAGCCATTTGACAACTTTTTAGTAAATTTTAGTAAATTGTTATTAAAAAAAAAATAAAAATAAAAAACTTAGTTATCTGCTTAAACCGCTCAGACATGTATAATTTCATTTTGCGCAAATAGATACATTTTGTATCACATTTTCACATTAAGTTCAAGAGGCGTGAACCTACGCATATGACAGAGGTGCTACGCCTCTCAAGTTCAGATACTAAAAATTGTGCTGTTCTGTACTTGGCACGTATGTGACACCTTAAAAAGTTAATTGTTTTTAAACCGCAATGCGATAAACATTATAGTCATTTTATAGGGTTTTACTGGAGATATCAAAAAAATTATTGTGGGACTTATATATACTATTATGGGACTTATATATATTATGGGACTTATATTTATTATTAAATAACGTATAATATTTCCGAAAAATTAACTATTTGAGCAGGTGTTTTGTAGGTTCTCATAAATATATACCTCAACTTTGTTCGACGAACTCTTCATATATGCACAATAAAGAATTTTTAATCAATTTATATACTATATACAATATATATATGTATGCATTATTCGCTAAATAGTAAATTTATTATAATCTACATAATAAAAATTCACGTGTAGAAATGACTTTTTTGCTGTTTTATCGCCTTCTTGCTTACGTCTAAACTATTTTGCATAATAAATCTTTTTATTTTTTAAATACGAGTGTACTGCATTTACACTCAACTACATATACTCAACTACATATATGTATATATAAATATACATATAGTTTAAAAGATTTACACGTTCATATATACATATGTATATATGTATAATTATATGTGAATAAACGTTTTACCTTTATTATGAGAAGAAAATGTTTATTAAAAATAAACTTAAGCAAAAGTCAACTAAAATCGAATAAATTTTTATTTAAATGCAAAAACACGACAAAGCGCCTAGCAACTATGAAAAAAAATTGTTTAAAATTAAAAAAAAAGAAAGAAAAAAAATAAATAAAAAATTAAATATGTGAAATGTATTTTTATAAATTGTATAATGCATATATGTAAATGAGACTATAAAACCTGCATTTCGAAACTGATAATACATATTCAAACAATGCTCCACATACAAATATGATGGTTTTTGCAATTTTTTTTAGCATTAATATAATTAAATTAAATATCAGTTGCCAGGAGGACAATGAGTTAAATTTATTAAAAATATTTTATTATAATTTATAAAACAATAAACAATGCACACAATTTTTAATATATTAAATGTGTAAGAAATTGCAATAATTAAGCTTTTAACTCAATTCAGAAATAAACCTATGAAAACAATATAAATTATATTGACGACACTATTGAAATGAACATAAAAATTTAAAATATGTGATATAAAGATACTACTCAAAAGAACTGTACAATTAATAATAATGTCATATCACTTATAACAATAATATAATAAAACTATAAGAATAATATTCATAAAAATAAAAAAAAAATATAATTATAATAATGGTATCACAATGGACCTGTAGGACATAAATGAGTTCATCATGGTTCATTATGGCTTTACAGCCATAATAAATAAAATATAATAGTAATATATGTAGATGTTCTGAAATTTTACTCAGTGCTAGCGGATTACCATATGACTCCTTGTTTTGAAATAATTATGGATAACTGAGGACACATCGATCTTTAGAATTAAAAATTTTTAAGCTAAATAACTAAAGTGATTCTTATCACATGAAATTGTATTAGTCTGAAAATCATACTGTTTGTATAATAATAAGTATATAGATGAGAGATACTTTTTTTCAAGTTCTTAAGATGCGTAATTGAGTGACACAAATTTGATGGCTGAGCCATCTCGGAAGTGAGCTATTCTTTTTACTTTACTCAAGTCATATACTACCCTAACCTGCTGCTCTTGTAAATATGCCATTATGGTTTGTGTATTCCTAATACCCTCAACATATCCCACTCCAGTACAC